AAATAATAAAGCCGCAAAATATTAAATGCATAAATTTTCCTAAATATGTATAGTAAAATCTAAATATATGTATAAATACTGGCTATCTAGCCCCGTACCGTATTCTTGTTTGGGCGTGGTCACACCATTCCCATCTGGTGTGACACACACATTGTTACCACCGTATGTGTAACCCTGTTACACTCTCCCCCATTAACATTTCCAATCGATTATTGCCTCAACGAAGCTTGCGTGTCCGCTAGGCACTGCATTTTGGTTCGTTGGAACAAAATGGCTTTCGTGCTCAATGAGCCCTGTGTCCACGACACTGAAGTCACCAAGGCCCGCTGGTTATGTCAGCACACACGGGCAGAGCCCAACTTCGTCTCCCGCGCGTAGAGAATGTCGGACAGGGACATAAATCCTAGGCTCGATGAGCCCGAGCGTCGCGCTCCGCGCACGCTACCAGTGACGAGTGACCTCGTAGAGGATGTGGAGGAGGTCGACTACGAGTCTGACACTCCTTTTACCGAGTAGGATGACGAAGAAGGCGAGCCGCGCCTGCGGCGTGAGACGAGCCTTGCTCGTGCCTTGCGGACCCATGCCCGTTTCCTGACTTCTCGTCAACTGAAGGACGTGGTGTCATCACCACTGACCTCGACGAGGCACAAAAGCGGCAGCTGGAAGCTGCCCGTAAGGCGGCTTTGATTCGCGCCCATCCACGGTCAGTCATTGACCCTCGTGTGGAATATGGCTTCCGCCCGGCGCTTTCCACTGTGGAAGCGAAGGACGCGGTAGCTCGACCGTTACGCCTCCACATCATCGGTCCCCCAGCCATTACTGAAGATGAGCTTGCCGAACGGAAAGCTCTTCGAGCACGTTTCTTGTTTTCACAAGAAATTCCGTTGGAAGCTTTTCGCACTCGTCTATGTGCGCAACAAGGTGGCTCTCGTGTACCGCAATGCGGACAAATCTGTAATGCTCGCCCCTGGCAAAATAGCTACAGATGACGATGCCTTTGAGCGATGGGTGCAACGGCAGCGGAAACTTTCATCACTGTATAACCTGCAGTTGAGCCACCAGGAAGTGGACGTGCGTGTGGAGCGACACCTCCGATTTGAGTTTGCCAAACTTAAGGC